AGTAGATATATGGAACAGGTCAACATGCAAAGAGTTAGAGACTTCAGAGTACTTAGCCCTAAATGGGACATGTATACAACACCCCTTCCATCCAAGGCGCATTACAGAATATGCGAGAATAAGATCATAACAGCAACAGGCAAAGGATGACAGCAATGAAACAGGTTAATTGACACAACAGGGCAGTTGCTCATGTTAACTCACAATTGCAACAGCATGCACAAATCTTGCATAAAATCAAGCCAGACAAAAATCCAAGCATGGCTTAGGAAGTTTGGCATCAAATCCCACCCCTAGCTGAGGAGCAATTGGCTATTTGTGGCTCCTGGGAAAAGAACCAGTTTTCTTTAGGGATGAGGCCCCTGAAAGGCTACCCATTCTCCACTATATACATACTTGAAGCACTGAGTGGACTCAGTTTTCTTTTGTTTTATTGAAGAAGAGGAGGAGGAAATGAGATTAGAAGGGAATTTGGGGGAAGGAATAGGGAGGATGGACTTGATCAAAATCATGAAATTCTCAAAATTGCAAATATTTTAAATGAGATGATCATTTCAGATTATATAGGATACACAGTTACAGAATAAAAGTAATGCCAACATTTAAAAAAACTGAACCATATAAATTTAAAGTTGAGTGAATTCTGAGAGGTCCTCAAACCCCAATAAATTAAAACTGGCCTACAACATGTATCTCATTATTAAAATTTAAAACCTCAGGAATAAATAAGATTTTTCAAAAGAAGTTATGCTGGGGAAGAAAGACACTCAAATAAATACAAAAAGTCATTTCCAGAGATAGTAGTGTGTGCCTGTAGCTACAGCTACAAAAATTTCATTTCCGGAGATGATAGTGTGTGCCTGTAGCTACAGCTACAAAAATGTCATTTCCGGAGATAGTAGTGTATGCCTGTAGCTACAGTTACTGGACAGACTAGGATGGGAGGTTCACATGGGCTCACAAATTCCAGACCAGTCTAAACAACAGAACTTCCCCTGGGAAGGAAAAGAAGGGCAAGAGAGGGAAAGAGGAGAAGGGGGAAGGGAAAGTAAACAGGAAAGAGAAGTGGAAGACAGATGTCAGCTGTTGCCAAGGAGGGACAGTGGGTTTTGCCATACTGAGAGGTATTTAGGAATTGATCATTTAGCAATTTTGCAACAAACCAATTTTGGAACAAAATGAAATGATCAACCTCAAAGGAAAAACAAAAGTAAGGAAAGCGAAGCAAAAGCCAGAAGAAGTCTGCAATTTGACAATAAAGATTATTATGAGACTCCTGCATGCTAACAGCGATAGCCTACACAGTAACTATTCATTTCTCTGGAGCTAATGGGAGAATAATGGGAAAGAATATGGAAGAGGATGCAGAAGAAATCTAGTCGCTAATCCTTTAGGGTGGGATGTCAATAAATAACCACAGCAGTTTAAAAATTCATGAAATTGCCATCCCGAGCTTTTGAGAGTGAAGGGACAGGGCATTGTGTTGTCATTGTAAATCCTGCAGTACTGGTTTGTTTTTAAAAGCATGCATACATATTGTCTGAATGAAAAGTCTGCAAATGCTAATGTGATTTTCATAATAAACATAAAGACTAAGTAGTAAAATCTAGGTAAGATCAGCTAAACTAGCCTTAAATTGACCACAACAACATACTTTTTATTTGTTTTGTTTTAATCTAAGTTCCATGTGAGATGAAAAACTGTATAGAACAGATTGGGGGATGGCAGTTTGCTTATGAAAACAATATTCACAAGATAGTGAAGAGATCATGAATGGACCAATATAGGAATTAAAATGAAAAGAGATAATAGCCAGTGCTTTACAGGGAGCTGAGAGCTGAGACAACCCTTCACAGCTACTCTAGAGGTAAAAAGGAGCCAGACCAGCAACTCTATTGACAGGTGAAGACTGAGCCAGGGGAGGAAGTGTGGTATCAGCTGCAATATTAAATTAGTCAACTTCCTTTGAACAGATAAAACCATGCTGAGCCCCAGGTAGAAGCTAAATATTAATAGAGGGTACCTATGACAGAACCCAATGGGTGAGACCACAGAGCACCCACTGACACTTTTCTTGCAGAACCTGCTTCCCAAAGTTCCAGAGGAATGTTGGGAGACAAAGCCATAAAGAGGAAAGAGAGAGGGCTCCATCAACAATGCAAAGGGTATCTGCTTTTCTATCTTGCCTTTTGTGGCTAAGAGGCAACTGTAAGCCCACCACTGACATCACTCAGATGAGCTGGAAATGGAGTGTCGAGGCAGAGCCATCAAGGCAGCTAGCTCATATGTATGCTCTGAGCAGTTTAATGGGCAACAAGAATAGAGGAAAACCCAAAGTTTTGCCTAAACAATGAGTTCCTAACTCTACCTAGCTGAATTATTGTTTGTGACTTTTAGAATGTATTTACTGGGTGCATATTATATTGCTGGCATTGTGTAGGACACTAGAAGGATGCAAGAATAAACCTACAACATGCAGATACTTGAGTAGGGGCTGAAATATTAGTGATTTGACTGTTTGGGGATAATGGGACAGGATCTAGTGTGACCCAGGACTAACTATATAAATGAGATACTCAATCATCCACAACCTTAGGAGGTCCTGATAGACATGACTTACTGAGAACAAAATCCCTGAGCCAGCCTGACAGAGTTAGGAGAGAACAAAGGGTCAGACAGAGTAATGTAGCTACTAATACAAATACCAATGCACACTGAACATCTGCTGATAGCTTACCAAAAGTACAGTGAGATGGTGATATGTAACAACTGGAGCTCTAATTTCAGAAAACAGAGTAATAGAGCTGTGGCCTCTGACTGGCTGCCTGCATGACTCCAGGATATTTTCTTTTCTTAACAATAAAATCACCTCATTCCAAAAGGATGAATTATCATATGGTATGGGTCTTGTTTGTTCTCCCAATATTGTAAATTTATAACTATAACTGAATAATTAGAAAAATGAAGGGGTACCTGTAACCCAATATAGGGAACACTTTTTGTAATATTTAACAAAGAAGCTTATTCTTTGGGTGCAGGAAGATGACTCAGTGAGTAAAAGCACTTGCAGCACAAGTATGAGATTCAAATTTCAAATCCCTAGAAGCCAAGTAAATGACAGACATGCATTGTGAGCATCTGTAGCCCCAGAACCTCTACATCAGTGGTTCTCAATCTTCCTAACCCTGCAACCCTTTAATCCAGTTCCTCATGTTATAGTGACCCCCAACCATAAAACTATTTTGTTATTATTTCATAACTATAATTTTGCTACTGTTATGAATCATAATGTAAATATCTGACATCCAGGATATCTGATATGTGACCCCCAACATGGTCAAAACCCACAGTTTGTGAACCACTGCTCTATAGGGAGATGAGAGGTAGACACAGGAGGACTCCCAGGAGCTCACAGATCAGCTAATGTGGCATACACTGGAGAAAAGCAACAAGGAAACCTTGTCTCCAAAAGATAGAGGTAAGAACCCACACCAAGGGTATCTTCTAAAAATACACTTTCTGTGGCACACACATGCCAGGATTCACCCAGATAAAGTCATACACACACATGCACATATGCACACACACACACACACACACACACACACACACACGTATGCACACCACACATGCACACTCACAAATTTTAACAAAGCTCATTCTTTAACATTTAGAATTCTTAAGTATTATGGGTTCAAATTTTTAGGAGAATATTGTTTCAAAACAGTTTAAATAAAAGACAAAAACATGCTTTTGAATTATCTTAGAATAAAAATAGTCATCCAATAGATTATACCACCACACCCAGAGTTTACTATATGAAGAACTAGGTGTTAAAAGTAAAAATACCTAATGTGTGCTTTATTTTGAGAGGCACAAAGCCCTCAACATGCCAAACTTTAGGATAGCTTTAGAGGTAATATTTCATGCAAGAGTTGAGTTTTCTCCTTCCAAAGTCATAGCTTCCCTTTTGCATAATCTGATTCCAGTATTTTCCCCTGAGACAGTTTTTCCTATTTCTAGACAGTTTTGTGATAGGTTTATCATTGTTATTTTATTTTGGTCACAAGTCATGAGTAATTCATTCTTCATTTGATTTATGCTATTTATAAAGTGCCACATCAACGATCCCTTCAGTTTAGCATTTCAGTTCTGACAGCTAGAGTAAATAAAGCACTATCTGCCATAGAGGCACTATGGGGTTCTGACTGAGAAAATTCTATTTTGATCTAATTGTCCAAATGTAGTTAGCGGTGCCTTTAACTGCTCTTACCATGAGGCAAGATACATGTGTCTCATACTTTGATATTTCAATATGTAAATAATGCAATTATTTTTATTTTTATCATGTTCTGTTCATGTATTTCATCACATATTGTACAAATGGTTCTGCAAAGACCATACTCCAAAATGCCATGTCTTCCTTCTTTACACTTTTTTTTTAAATATCTGCAAATGTAATTCTTTATAGAGCCATTTTTGTGTCCGAAAGGAAGATGCATGCCTGTGTTAGCACCAATTTAGTACTGTGCTGTTTTGTTATATAGGAAGAGACAGGTGGTTCAGCAGCTCCCTTGAACAACTGCTGGCGTGGTTTGCATTCTGTAAAGCAGCCAAGCTGTTCTGTTCTAACAGTGAACCCCAAAACACAGTGACCACTTGGGTAACTTGTAACACAGAAGATAGCAACAGATTTTGTTCCCTACTCTTCTGCAGCATGTAGGCAAATATCTATTTTTCCTCCATTGAGTACCAAGTAGAGGTCATGCAATTTAGATATGTATCATTAATGATGCCTCCTATTGTCTAAAATGGATTAACTTTTATAAAGGTTGTTAATATGCCAATACTTAAGCTTCTTTATGTATTTTCACACGTAACTTGGAACTATGAAACTAAATTTTAAATCAATAAACACCTTAAATATTCATTGAGAATGAATAAACTGAATATTATGTATTTTTATTTAATATGTAAATGCAATGCAATAAAATGAACAAACAATGAACAATAATGTTCTGGTTTTATTGGTGAGTCCACCCATCCTCCTTGGGATGCTGTGAGATCCTTGGCCCCTGTGGAGCAACCATGTCTATGATGAGCTCACACTGACATCTCACATCCCTTTTGTTTGCCTGTGGATGATCCTCATTTGCATCCAATCTCCACCAGCTTCAATGTACTCTGATATTAAATAAGGAATTGTCTTACTTTCCTTTCTGAGTCTGTTTCAAGTCCATTCTTTCAGAACAATTCCTCATCAAATGTGTCTCTGAGAACAAAAATCAATGTGATGATTTTTAAGGAATAATGACATATTATATATTGTAATGTGATAAAACATCATAAATAAAGAGTAACACTGTGAATTTAGACAAAACAAACATAAGTGAAAGACTGTAAGAGAAAGCATATGAAACAGAGCTCCACTCTTTCACACACTTAAGAATCCCATAAAAACCCTGAACTAGAAGCCATAATACATATTGCAGGATCTGATGCAGACTCTTGGGGGCCCTGTGCATGCTGCCTCAGTCTCTGTTCATAGGAGCTTTGATCATTTTTATTTAGAGGGCCTGGTTTTCTTTGTTTCCTCCAATGACTCTGGCTCTTATATTCCTTCTGCCTCCTTTTAAGCAGGGTTCCCTGAGCCCTGAGGAGAGAGGTTTGTTGGAGACATCCTATTTAGGGCTGATTGTACTGAGGCCTCTCACTCTCTGCTGTTGTCTGGCTTAGGTCTCTCTATTTGTTCCCATCCACTGCAGAAAGAAGTTTTGCTAATGATGGTTAAACAAGGAACTGATCTATGAGTGTAGCAGAATGCCATTAGGAGTCATTTCATTGCTACTTTTTTATATCTTTAAGGACAAGTAGTATTTGGTTTTACACTGATTCCTGGGCTATCTAGTCTTATGCTCTTGGTCACCTGAGCAATGTCATATATGGGTCCCATCTCTGTAGTGGGCCTTAAATCAACTCAGATATTGGCTGGTTACTCCCACAAACTCTGGACCACCATTGCCCTAACATATCAAACTCTGGGCTACCATTGCCCTAACAAATCTGGCAGGCAAGACACCATTGTAGATCAAAGTGCTTGCGGCTGTGTTGGTGTTTATGTTTCTCTTTTGGTAGTGTGCAGAGTGCCTTCCTTTACCAAAGACATTGGAATATAGGGGTGAAGCTCTATATAGGCACCAGCTCAACATTTCCATGTTTGATGAACTGTGTAGGTACAGCTGTGATAATTTGTTGGAGTTGTTTTCATAAAGAAATCTCAGCCACTCTAATTTAAACAAAGACAAAAGAATCCACACACTTTCCTCTTTTATTTCATTTTGAGCTTTAATCTAAAAGGATGGTAACTGAGTAAATTGACTACTGCAATTGCAAATCTCCCAGGGATGAGCTTCCCCAATATTTATAGTTTTGTGCAACTTCTTCTGAGACTTAATGTACTGGAGTTTTGTATCTCCTATGGGATAAGAACAGAATAGCTTCCAGGCTTAATGCAATACATGATATGCATCCTTGAGGCCCACCTGTTTAGACTTTCACATCATTCCTCTCCACTCTTCCACTTGGGTACCTATAGCTTTCTGCTTATTCAACTGGTGATCCCTTCTCCCAAAGGCTGGCAGTACAAAAAAGAGGGTTTCCAAAAATGATTTTAACTGTGATAACAGTCCATACAAGTTTCCTTAGTCTTTGAGAACTCATTATTCATATTAGTTAGCACCAAGTTAAAAAAACAAAATCAACTTACCCAAAATTTAACCATTTCATCAAAAACTGTTACTAGACCAGAACTCAGTTCAGTCACCAATGTTTGATCCTCAATGCAGATAGATGAAACTATAATTTATTTCATTGTCTCCCTTTTTCTAGTACAAAACTCAACTGGCTGTCAATCAAGACAAAGCTTAGAGACTTTCTAGGGGAAAATGAGCATTTCCAAACTAAAACGAAGCACAAATTACTTCAAGAACTTAGATTTGTGCTTTGAAAAGTGTCAAGCTAAACTAATCACAGAATGAACTGATGGGATATTTGCTCTGAGTTTCATGTTATTGTGATTTTTCAATGTCTGTCTCACATTTTTGGTTATCTGTCAGGTATAATTACCTTGGAAATCCCACTTTCAGTGTTGGTGAACTGTAAATACCTCCAGGGAATGCCAATAAAAATGACGCAGCCCCATGACAGCACATGACTTATGGATGCTCCCACCTGGCTTCTTGACCACAGAGAAGACCTTGAGTGAAGAGAACCAAATGGAAGCTAGTGAGGAACACAGGCCTGCAAAGATGGCTCTGCATCATACTATCTGTCCAAGCTCCAGCTCAAACATTAAAGGGGAATGTGGATAATGCTCACAAAGCATGGGGAAATCAACTTCCTGCTATCTTCAATTAGAGATTTGTAACTTCACATTTAGGAAAAGGAGGAAGTGAAATAGCAATAATCTGCCAAAATTATTTAATGTTAGTTTTGAAACCTTTTGCTTACAGTATCACAATGTCATCATTAGAAGAGTTCCCAGGAGGGATCAGGCAAAGTGGTCATAGTCAATGTTTTTTACACTAGTCTGCTTCATCTGATTTCTGACTTAAGTTATCTAACCACCAAACAGTCCTCCTATGTCTCAACCGCCTCGACCAGCAAGGAAGACCCAATGCTGAGACTCTTCCTTAAGCAGTTTACTCAGGAAACTGAAACAATCTTCTTACCCCGGGGGAAAGGCCCCCCAGAGCATAAAAGCACTCTTGCCAGCCAACCTCAGAACGCCACGTGGCTAAGGCGGATAGGCTCGCATTTGCTGATGCAAGTTTGAATCTTAGACCAAGCCAAATAAGGAGTTGTTTATTCCAGAGAGCGCTCACCCTTGGGATGGTGGAAGGCAGAAACCGGCGCCATCTTCTGGCATGGCGCATTGCAGCTCTCCACACCCCTATCTGAAAATGGAAAGAAATGACCGTGCTGAATGCCTCGATAGGATAAAGAAGATAAATGTTAAAAAATATAATGCATTTATAGTTGCAGTACATCTCATTACTATTACTTTGCTAAACATAAATTACTATGTAGTTTCTACTATAAGTTATTTGACAACATATAATGTTGTAAGACTACTTAGCATATGGAAACTTCAAGAAGTTTCTGTATTGAATGTATTCCCCTTTAGTCACTTTTTCTGTTTAAATTATAGACTGTTCTATTTAAAACAGATACCCTATGAAGAAGCAATGGTGTAGCCTATCACATTTCTGTGGTGACATCATAAAAGTCGATAAGTTTGATGTTAAGGAGTCAGAGTCATGAATGTGGATGGCTGAATTGGAATATCCTTACCTGGATTTGCTATCAAGGACACATTGCTAACACATTTTTAAACAGAACAGTGATAGAGATATGTTGTACCAGTCTTTAATAAACATTGGAACACATCAAGTAGGTACCAACTTATTTATGTTCATTGTTTATATTGTATATTTGATGACTTGTCAATGTGTCTTCACATCCCCGGTTGGCTTAGATATAAGAGGCTGTTGAGCAGAGAATCCTCCTAGTCCAATCATTGGCATCTCAGTGGCATCAAAAGCCTCCAGTTTGGTCAGCCTGTACTTTAAGTTTGCCGAGCTTCAGAAGAGCCCAAGTAATGAGACACAATCCTGTAAAAATAACAATGCTGGTGTTTGCAACAGAAGAGAAGCTGCAAAAACTCAGTATGCGAACTAAGAAATGCCCTCTACCATACTGACCACTAACTTGTAGAAGGAACTGAAACTGATGTTTACCTAGCTCAGACTTATTGTGTTAGATCCATGAAGCATAGATCCAAGGAGACAGAACTGTCTACTCTCAAGGAACTTCCTTTGCAGAGGGCAAGAGGATGAGGAGAGAAAGGATTATCATAAAGCCTTTGAGGTAATAGATGTGTAAGTGATATTAAATGTCAATCTTTGTGCTCTGAAAGAACAATGGGACTAAGAGAAGGGACAGGGACAGTTTGTAAACAGTTGTTCAATCCAGACCACATTGAAAGGGGAAATATGGACACAGATTAAAAGGATGTGAAAAAAATTAATCAAGCAGATGATTAAGGAAAGAACATTCTGGGAAAAGAAAATCCCACATATTGATGTTGCATTTACACTAAACTTTGTATGTGGCAAAGTAATATTTGATCCATTTATATAATAATTACACATAATAAAATATATTTTGTATATGAATTATTTATTTATTTATTTTAACATAATTTTATTGATTCTTTAGGAATTTCACATTATGCAGCCCAATCCCACTCATTTCCCAGTTTCTCCATACCTGCCCCTCACCCCCGTAGCATCTTCGACATGATAAAATTTTTAAAAATATTAATTAAAAACAAAACAAACAAATAAACCACTTCCCTCCTCTGTCTTTCCTGCCTCTCCACTACCTCTTCACTTGTCTTAGTGCTATCAGAAGCTTCAGTGTGTCACAAAGCATACCCTTTTGTCCACTCAGCTTTACTGGCCAGTGTTCATTGCAATGAGTTATTGGTCTGGTTCAAGGCCTATGGCTTCTGTTACAAGATCAATACTGGACCCTCACAAACCTCTTAGATATCCTGCTGTTGCCGTGAGTCATGGAGGGCTATGGTGGTTCCACAGGACTAGTCCCTTTAAGCACTCCAGCAGGTCATAGATGGGGCAGCTGTTGGGGTGGGCCAACTCAAAGCCTTGCATGTGTATCTGGGTGGTAGCTGACCTGATCAGTCCTGGCCGGTGGGACAGGCCCCCTCTGGCAAAGGGCAGAGCCAACTCTTCTACACCCAGACCATGGGTGCAGCTCTCCCATGGTCAAGATAAGTGGTGGGGCCATCTCCCCTGTGAGAGGTGGGATCAGCTCTTCTGCTGCAGTGGCCAGCGAATGCCAAGGCCAGCTCTCCCAGTTACCAGTGAAGGGTAACTCAATACGGCCCTTGGATTTCAACACCCGTGATTCCTATGGCCCCCTGTGGTAACATGGGCCATGAAGATCAACACAGACCCCAGATGCAGCAGGACCCAGATATGGCACTTAATAGCATCTCACCCTAGACATGACCATAGCCCTGGTGGCAGATCACCCAGGTCAGTATGACCCTGAAGGCATTTATGGCCCTCCAGACACCAACATGGTCTTAAATGGCTGGCCCAAACCCAAGTATCTCCATAGCCCTCCGTGGAAACAGGAACCACAGAGATATGAATTATTTTTAAGGGAATCACTTTCTTGTCTTCAAAACTACATGCTCAAGTGTCTGCATAGATCCTATTGCTTCCTGAATATGTCTTTCTACCAATTTCAACCAGGACTCAGAGTCTAGACCAGGAAGAGTAAGGAAAGCAGCAACCATTGCAAATGTCACGTTGTAAACAATGAATTCTTTCCTGGCATGGTTCATGCTTATATCAGGCAATATGAAGGGGATAAATATATAAATATATAAAGGGAAAGAATAATTTAAAAGTACTTCAACTTAACATCCAGCTTTCACTTTGGTCTTCGTAGTCAGAGGTGAGTGTTGTCTTCTCTGATTCCCAAGGCCAATGTTGTAATTTAAGAGGCTTGGGAGAGCCGGAGAAATATTCCATTCCTACTATTCTTGCCCCTCACCCTCTGGAGGCCTGTCTGATGGGAAGTGGGGGTGTTTTAGCACACTTTTATGCTTGGTACACTTACTATATTTTTTTCATAGATCAAAACAATTCAATGAAAGTTGATACTTTAAAAAAGAAAGAACCTGCTGGGCGTTGGTGGTACACGCACGCCGCCTTTAATCCCAGCACTCGGAGGCAGAGGCAGAGGCAGAGGCAGGCGGATCTCTGTGAGTTCGAGGCCAGCCTGGTCTCCAGAGCGAGTGCCAGGATAGGCTCCAAAGCTACACAAAGAAACCCTGTCTCGAAAAAACAAAAAAAAAAAACCCTGTAGAAAAAAAAAAAAAAAAACCCCTTCTCAAAAAAAAAAAAAAAAGAAAAAAAAAAGAAAAAAGAAAGAAAGAACCTAATTTTTTTAAACATCAGAATATGATGAGGGTTGCCAAACCGCAAAAGGAATGCAATCATGTTGATTTGGGGGGGGCGGGGGCTGGTTGGTTGCTTTTTCATTTACTTGTTTGTATTAGATTTTTGTTCTTTTGTTCTTATTGTAAGGTGGTATAAAGAAAAGAGGAGCACGCCTTCATTGAGCCCTGGATATACAACCTTATAACGGTTGCTTAATGAAGACAAGATAAAAAAAAAAAAAATTCAAATACTTGCCAGCTGTAATTAGTGCTTAGCACAAAGTTTTCAGTACAGACTGAGGATCAACAGAAAATAAAACTATTGTTTTGTTTTGATATTTAAATTGTATAAAAGTTTTTAAATTAGCATATGAGGTATTAATTATCATTATGGCTTTTTTCCCCTTAGTGTTTTTGAGACAGGGTTTCTCCATGTAGTCATAGCTATCCTGTAACTTTTTCTGTAGACCAAGCTTGCCTGAAAATCAAAGATCCACCTGCCTCTGCCTCCCAGGTTCTAGAATTAAAGGTGTGCACCACCAATGTCCAGCCCAGTATGGTATTTTTTTTTTTTACAAAGTGTGTTTTAGTACATTCCTCTCTTGTCTCCACAAACCTCCCTGCTAACCCTGATCACCCTTGTACCCTCCCTACACAGTCTTTCCTCTTTTATGTCTTACCCGAGCATCTTCTTAAGCACTTTTTACCCTCTCTTGCTCTCCTTTCTAGTGTTTAGGCTTTACTTCATTTACACACACTTGCACAATGACACACACACAGACACACACACAGACACACACACAGACACACACACACACACACACACACACACATACACACACACACACATACATTACAGACTAATATCAACATATGAGAAGGAAAATACAGTTTTCCGTCCTTCTGAGTTTGACTCAATATTACTTTTACCAGATAGACCTATTTTCTTGCAAATTTTATTTTTTCCTTTTAGCTAAATAAGATTCCATTGACTACATGTATTGCATTCTTAGTTTCCATTAATCCGTTGATGGGCATCTAGACTAGTTCCCTTAGGATTTGTTTTTTAAAGAAATGAAGATGTTGACATCGGGTAAAAAGAAACAGTTCAAAATTTGAAGTTTGTAGGTCATAAAGTGACTCATCAGTGGTAATCAACCCTAAGTGTTAGCAGTATTCTAAGAGAACGCAAATACTGAGCTCCAGCCTGCTCTGGGATAATCCTCTTGTACACTGTAAATATTTGTTGCTCATATTGGTTTAATAAAACCCTGATTGGCCAATAGCCAGGCAAAAAGTATAGGTGGGACAACCAAACTAAGGATGCTGGGATGAAGAAAGGAAGTGTCAGTTAGGAGAGATGCCAGCCAGATGCCAAGGGAGTAGGAGATGAACATGCCATGCTAATAAAGGAACCACCATGTGGCAGAGTATAAGTAAGGAATATGGGTTAACTTAAAATGTAAGAGCTAGTAAGTTGTTATTCTGAGCTGTTGGTTGAGCATTTGTAATTAATATTGAGCCTCTGAGAGATTTGTTGAGACTGGTTGCAGGACAGGAAAATTCTGCCTACAACAGCCAGAGTCCCTCAAACAGTAGGCATGATGCTGTATACTATGGACACTGTGAGCATAGGCATTGTAACACCTGAAAAACTATCCTGTGCTCATATTATTTGATTCCGTGATGAAGAGTAACAAACAGTATTTAGTTTTTTAAACATCCATCTTCAAAATCACTCATGATATCTAAAACTTGACACACATTTACAAAGCTTTATTATAAGTTTGTTGATTTGTGGGATACTGTGCCAGAAAGGAGATAGCACTGATGAACAGGCTTGTGCTGATTATTATTTATTGACCCTCAACTCCACATAATCCTTTTGTTCTGCCTTGTGGTACCAGGCTGCCCTTTGCT